TATTTCAAGATAAAGATCTAAGCCCTCATAAAAATCAGAAATATCTCGATCCTTCAAATTGTATATTGCTGTTCCTGAAGAATGGGGAGATTCACCTTAGTGACCCCCACCATACCTACTGATCAGCTAACGCCACCCTCCCTCCTTTTATATATGCATAGTATTTCCTTATTTTATGGCATAAACTTGATGTTAGCAGGCAGATGGAATATCAACTTTGCATTATTGAAAAATGTTGACTAACAACATTATATACAGTTCAAATCATTATTTTGTCATTTTAAGCATATTTAATGGTTAATTATTGTGTTTTCACTGATAACAATGTCTACATCTGTATAATTCTTATGTTCTTTTTCAGATAATATTTGCTTTCGGGAATTTCATGGATTTGGGTGATAAAGAAAAAGATGCCTGCACTGTTGTCGATTTTGTATTACATGTTAATTTATTAATAAATTTATTCCTCGTTATTCGTTTGTTTATTCTACTTGATAATGCTGATTTCTAGCCTTTGCGTAAGTCGTGAGGTACGTAGTATATGACGTTATCTTAGAAATGACAAGTAAGACTATATATTCGTAGGGGCGGGTTGATAAAACGATTATGTCGCAACGTAATGAATTCACTACGTCCACAGTTAAAAAAAGACATTGAGATTATAAGCGCTTAGAGTTATATTTCGTCTTAGTAGGAACCTATTAACGGACTTCGGATTCATAGTCACACAAGGCTAGTACGTTAAAATCTAATCGTTTAAACTTGTCAACAACAATTTCCGTCATTTAGAGTGAACAAGAGATTTTTAAAGGAAAATTTATTTACAATTATCTTTAAAAATATGTACATAGATCAGTCCGAGTCTGACGATGTAGATGCCTGATCATCCGCCTGTCCACCAGCTTCAAGCAGATAATTGCATACGAAAAGAAACGCACTTCTACATATCCTAGGATGCGTCTGTTGAAGGTTTCTGATTTGATACATTATTCCTTGTATTAGCATCTCCATGTCCAAGTCCACCGCTGTTGTCGATTGCGATTGAATGATAGTGTGGTTGTACTATGTACTATGTCTAAATACATCTTTCACAAGATAAATGTAGGCCTATATGAACTTACCTAGACGTGTATATAAATGATATTTTGTATGAACAAGATGACGGCATGGCAAAGGCATATTTTTGTTTTGAAAACATGTGCAGCTGCAGTCATGTTTGTCCACAACGAAGTACCTTTCACCTTCTTGGAATACTACGTATGCTTCTGTGTAATCGGTGACCCTCATTTCTGGATGCCTCCTGATGCTTTTGTAAAGTGAGTAGGCGGCATAGCTTTTAAGCTGCCTCAAATTAAAGGCTCGAGATATTTCTGATTTTTATGAGGGCTTAGATCTTTATCTTGAAAAAGATAATAATGAACGCCTTGACAGATCATGCTTCTACCTTTAAATATATACCATTCGCTCAGCCTATTGTTGAGATGCGACCATGTGGGCTCTGCACAGATCTATTGGGCATCTTATAAATCAACTTGCTGTCCATTGTCGGATCTTTAAATACCACTTCACAATGTCTCATCTCATTCATTTTCTAATAACGTCTTTACTTAATTCTCATTGTATCCCATTAAACCTAACATTTTATATCTCTTTATGAATTTGATTCGACTTATTCTATTCCTATTCTCTGTGAGGTACGGTTGTGCACCAAATGCACAAAAAAGCATAAAATAAAAAAGCAGACATAAGGAAAAAATGTATTAAAACCAAAAGTGGACATCATGATACTACCAGATATACGCGTAGCATTATACATTGCAAATGAACGTTGTCAGCCTAGGGAGTTTTCTATATTAATGCATTTATTAGTGATACTTCCACTTACCCATTTCATTACACTTTACTGATTCACCTTAGCACTTTTAATTTTCTAAAATCAGCTTTCAATCCGTTGTAAACGTTGTACCTACCTCAATATTGGTTGGTTATCGTATGCCGACAACCACGGGATGAAAACGAAACGAAGTCGATTTTCCCGCTCAACCTGGAGGACAATTGTACAATTCAATAACTATACAGCCTAGTTCAGACAATGAGTGTATTTATATATATCAAATATTTAACTGTTGAAACATTATTAACTTGTAGACAATCTACGATTTGATATTATATCATACTTGATCGTGCCTGTAAAAATGGCATGCATTTTCATGTAAATTTATATGTTTATATGAGAATATATATTATTATTAAAATGCTGGAAAGGCCTTCGTCCACCTAAAAAATTTCAAGTTACAACTATTGCACTTACGTTAAAATGAATGTAGTAATGGAGGTTGCGATTTCCTTCTATAGCTTTTCTTCTCGATGACTCTATGGAACACTTCCATATCTCACGGATGCTCAATTCTAATGGGAAGCATTTGCTAGATGTGTCTTCAGATGTTTATGGCAGCACTCAACTCTGTTATTCGTTTTGTTACCAAGAGTGACAACGTCTTTCATATAACAGGCTGCCCACATATCACGACAACTCCATAAGTTGTTATTTATGTAGGACATGGCTGCAGGATACTCCAACCGTAACAAATTCATTAGCTCACTAAACCTAGAGATGTGTTAACACAATCACTTAATTACCTGCCATCACTGGTTGTGTACACCATCTCTTTAAACATCTTTTTGCAATTAGGATCACGGAACTTCAGGATGTTAGGTCATTAGTAGTGTCGCTTACTTTGTTATTGAAGGCCCGGATAACATGAAATGCACACAATATGATGGAGCAGGCAGGGAACTCATTACGAATTGCACCTTGCTCTGCATGACTGTTGTCACTTACAAACGTTACAGTCTGCGATGTATCACCCATGATATTCTTAAAGGACCGTAATACTGCTTCAACGTCAACAAGTTTTTCACGATGAGTTATACTGTACATGATTGGACAACTTCTGTTCATACCATCTGCAACGACCAGTTGATATAGAGGATGACTGCAAGAGATTCGTTTAACATAAAAATATTACCCTTCCTTATTCATATTGTAGGTTGAATCCATGCCCACAACCTCTGGAAATTTCTTATACACACTTATCATTTCCTTTGTTGCGAAACAAAACTTTTCCACACGTCGTCGACTGTCCATCACGCGCCATACTGAACCTGTGTCACGAATTTCACGGATCAGTGTGTCAATGTCTCGCATTCCTATGCATACTGTTAACGCAATATAAATTCCGATAATCACCGTAAGTCATCAGCTTGCCGAACTCAACATCAACCATATTCATTACTTGAGCAGGGGGGCGTTTCTTTCGACAAGAGGTAATATTTTCCTTTTTTCTTCTGAATTAAGTCTCCGAACTGTTGGCTCAACAGACAATAGGAGTTCTCTTGTCAATGCATGGTTGTGTCGAATATTGACAGGTTCGACCACTTTATATAGTCCGAATTCCAGCTTCAATCTGAAACTTGATGGACATCCTATGCACTTAGATCTTAAATATAAAGCTTAGGTAATTCATAGTACTCACTGTGATATTCTCAGGTGCTTGCTTTCTGATGGTCGACGACGACCAACATGACATATAAATGAAGCATACGAGTACTTGTAATCTGGATCAACCTCATTATTTTCGAACCCGAGAGTCACGTATTTTATACAAGCTGCCGGTTCGTTACAATTAATAATGACATGCCATTACTACAACTTGCATAAACCTATCACCTCTAGAAAACGACGTATACATTCTTCACATTCCTTCCAAGTCCTTAGAGTTTGGAAGAGAACTAATTCATTGAATTCAGTGGTTAAATCAACTGATATTTCATTAATTTCCTCTACCATGACTATATGCATTACCAGTTATTCTAAAGGACAATTGAAATCACCTTAAAAAGTAGCAACCAAACAAAACAGCCAATAAGGTTTGCAAAAACCGCTACTAAGTCTTCTAGGTGATATCAAACAGGCCAATCACAAGCTAGTAAATCACTTGTTTATCTCACTCGCGGGCACTCAAAATGACGTCCGTCGACAGGCTGTCGATAAACTGTCATGCGGTGACACAAGGGTCGCGCCCAAATGGCCTATTCCACCAAAACTCATTCACATTATTGATGAATATACATCTATACTCACCCTTCACTTCTGCTCATTCTTACTTGTCTTGTTCAATATTATTTCACTGATATGATAATTGCCCTAATTTTTTCATTTGAATATTTGTTTTATCAAAGATCACTGTCTATCTGTCTATATTTTTTCTTTTTCTGCTTACATTTGTCTATTCTTTACGCTCCAAGTGGGATAAGGGGCTTTTATTTGCACTGGTTCTGCTTATACGGAATGGAGTTGGTAGCCTAATGCCCAGCTTTCCCTCTTAATCCGGACAGGTGAGATTAAGAAGTGCTTCGGCAGGCAGTCGAACTCTGGAAAACGTGGTTGGTTGGCAAGAGTTCTACCACTCACCTTCAGTTTAAATAATCTACTTTATTATATCTATTTTTAACTACTGTTGTTTCTTCTTTCACCCATACTGGACGACCAAGGGATGAAAGAATCAACTCCATTCACAGCAGTGACACTGTCTTAATATACAGCACACTTAAAATCCAAAATAACCGATCCCAGCACCACTCCCCTTGGAGTTAGCTGAGTCTGCGGCAATCGAGTGATGGGGCATAGTCCAACGAAGTATGCCGAAGACCAGGAACCTTCGCCCTACAACTAAAAGCGGGAACAAAGAAATCAGTATGGTTTGCACTAGCTTGCAAAACCGGTAGCGGTATTCGAAATTAAGTAGCATCGAATTGAATAGATTCATAGTCTCAGAGAAGCCTCAAGAGAAAGTGGCTAAAAGAGAACCTCTTGTGAGTAAAATATTTGGTGTGGGATGCGAGAAATGTCCATGCCTGGATAGCAAACGAAAATCACAAATCTGAAATTGGTAACCGTATATTGAACGAAGGTCAGAAACCGATGACCTTCACAAGCGATGACAGGTCAAATTTCCGACTTAGTGAAGCGGTTCAAGTTCCTATGTAAGAACTTCCCAGATAAGTCAGAAGCTGTTGCAGCTATAGAAGTTCTTGCCCAACTTCTGGAATGTCCAGACATTACAACTGTCCAGGGACTCTACGATGTGATGAATGCTGCTATAGCACGCATGTGGGATGAGGGCGTTAGCAATCTTTCAGTTATATCGGCGTGTGAACTCTTCCAACGCTTTATCACTCTGGCGACGCTGGACACGGTTGGTTTCGATGAATGCAAGAAGGTACTTTCTAATAGGGCTCAAATATTTATCAGGAAAGTGAGTTTTTTGTAGCTGTGTTTTCCAAGCTTATAATTTCGAAGTAATTATGCACAATGATTTATTGATGTGGTTGAATGTGGAAAGAATGCGATGTTTTCTGTTAAAATGTTTTGCGAAATAAACATGTGGAGTGCGGCTATAATCTAATGTCTCTAGGGGCTAATAGAAACTGCGCGTAATATGGCGATCTCTTGTTTTATTGTTTCCAAATTTTCTGTATTTTCTCACATTGATGTATTCCAAAACGCCTTCAGACTTTTTGTTTTGATCCGTGGAATTAACAGTTAATCCTAAATTAGTGCGTTAAACTTTCAGCGAGAGTAGGAAATGTTTTTAGGATTGCCTCTTCAGAATTAACTGTTCATTGTGTCATCGTACTGTTACGAATTTTAGAAGTCTTAGTAGTAATTTATATAGTCAGATGTCTTGGTGAATGATTGTACTCCTTGCCCTTGCAAACGTAGCTTTATTACTAGGTGGTTGGAGACAATTGACAGGAGGCCTTGTACCAAGATTGTCTGTCTGTCTGTTTTTGACATAGAACTTTGCACAAATGTGCGGAAGTTCAAGTCGCCACACTCCGTGTAGCACGCGAAGCAAGAGAAGAAAGTATAAGAAAAGCATAATAGAAGCTGTGAGCAGAGGGGTGAGACAAAGGAGGAGTAATAACGAAGAACAAAACAGTTTCATTGGAGATCATAAGTCACAGGGAGTGGATGCATCTGCGCCACTGAGAACGATTTTGAGCCATGTCACCAATTGTACCAAGATTACGTGCTTGTTGGCACTCGTCAGTAATCCGTAACTGCAATATTGAATAAAATTATGTCCTTCCTTAGTTTCGGACCCATGTCACCTGGTGTTTTAGTCAGAAGCATCACCACTGAACTATTTGGTCTCGAGACTAACCTCCTGTTGGACTGTATTGGATACTTTGATTGGGCGCTAACTACTTTCATGAGTCTAGCCAATTGTTTGCATGCCGACTGTATTCTATCAGTCAAGTTCGCAATGTGGCCACCATGTCGATTGGCAGTGTTTCTGACTACAGCGCCAAGAGACACGGGCTCGAATCCCAGAAGGGATATGAGTTGCTTCAAGGCTGGTGATGCGCATTGCTTACGAGTGATAACTCGCTCGCAAGCTAGGTCCAGGGCTTCCTGCCTCTCGTCCCCAAATGTCTTATAAAAGCAATTTTGAGTGTACCGTGATGGTAGCCCACCAGTCTCCAGCAAACAAAGGACTGTACGCATGACACCATCTGGTGTTCAATCAAAGTATTATTATTACTATTATTGTTATTATTACCCGTTCTTTGCATTCCGAGTAAAGCATAAAGCTTCGTCGAAATCTGATAACGTATTCCTAACTTATTCATGCATTTGTTTCGATATGTCATGCAACTTATTTCGCCTGGTCGATCTATCACTTTTTCCTGTGGAAAAATAAAAGTATACAATTATCTGGCTGCACACTCATCTGCTTTGTGACTTTCATTCTTTTAGCAGACCTGAGAGGCTGGTTTGGAGGTACATCTTTCTTGTAAAGCAAATATGCATTGTTCGCGTGCTTTAAAACAGCAGGTATTAGACTCCTTTCCGCTGTGGATCACTTTTTTCAGATAACCAGTAAACTCTCATGACTCATTTTTTCCTACACAATGCAAAAGCTTAAAGAAGCTAACTGAGGAAAATTGATCGGAATTTAGCCTTTAGAGAGAATAAGGTGAATCGGAACCATATGTTCCATTAGTTGCAGAAATGAGAATATACCGGCACCCCTCACTTGCCATATTCCTTAAGTGTAGATTACGAGAATGTCTTTATAACTCTTGATCATGATGCAGGCAGTTGGTCTTACTGGTGCGTACTGATTGAGTTTCCAATGTTTGGACGAAATTTGCTGTCTGGTTACCCCTGGTTTTGAGTAGTTCTTTAATTGACTTACTTTTGGGGCAGAATTTGACGTGTTAGAAGTATGTAGCCAGGACCTGGCACTGGTAAACTTTCCAGCTTAACTCAAAGTTATCTAGGAGTTTAAAGTGAGGCAACCATGTGTGTCTGCCAAGGGTTTTTGCTGTCACCAATTAGATTCATCCTTCATGTATGTGTATTAATACATGGGGTCCGCCAAAACTTTGATTTACGCAGATTGGTTTACTGCTTTTAAAGCATCTAGTAGACCTACTTTTGTATGTGAAGACATTCGCAAAATACGTCTGATTCTGGATATGCCTGGTATACTCTGTGCTATTCAGAAGTGACGTTCTTATATACAGTCGGTTTACAGTGGGCGACTGAGTTTTCAAAGGAGAACTGTGTGCATAGGTTCAGCAGTTGCCACAACCCATACAGCATCATAATAAATTGAAATGTATGGAAGACTTAATATGCATGTAGAAAATAGTGAGGATTTAGTGGATCTAGGAGACCACACAGTAAATGCATCTGTGCCGCTGAGAACAATCTTAAGTTTCCAACCATTATTTCTTTGCATCTCGATGACTCTCACCATGCAGTCAGCACCCACATACATGACTCAAACTAACAGTCACCGAATTTATGGATTGATGACAGGTTTTAATCTGATCGCACACCTAATGGTTTCGATTCCTCCGACCAAGAGGTACTCTGGCGTTGCTTGGCCATAAAAGGTATACCGAGAAAATACATTGCACTGATCAAGGAACTCTACTCGAACTCATGCAGTCAGCCAGGTGAGAGCTTACGGCAAGTTGTCATCTGAACTGGTGGCAACTAGTGGTGTCCGTCGGCGATGTCCACTATCCCCGTTTCTGTTCAGTTCCATCATAGATGTACTAATGGACTTAACCATAAGTGACTTCAGAGACTCAGGGATTGACCTGTAACTAGGTTATCATATGATTGACTTAGAATATGCAGATGATACAATCCTTCTAGGCGAGAACGCTGACAAAATTCAGAGTCTTCTGAACGCCTTGCGCTGCAATCTATTAATGTTTGGCACGCGATTCGCTCCCGCCAAATGTAAGATGATGCTACACGACGGAACTGGACTACATTGACTCCTAGATTAGAAATAGAGAGTGTTGACCACTTCATTTATTTGGGAAGTTGCATCAACCAACGCCAACAGGCTGATCTCTGACGAAATCTCAATACGGATACAGAGGGCTAGTTTCGCATATACCAGTTTACGCCGTCTCTGGCGTAGACGTGATATCCGGCTGGCTATCAACCGAAGGGCGGGTGCACTGCTCATCAGTCTTCTCCGTCCTCCTTTATGGCTAGCTGTGAGACCTGGCCATTGAGAGTGGAAGACATGAAAAGATTAGCTGTCTTTGATCATATGTACCTGCGTTATATCTCCTGTGTTATGTGGCATAATGTGATTAATATTTAGGTTAGGCACGGGTGGAGTACTTGGTAAGGAGGGAAAACCAACTGACTAGGTTACGCAGTTACATGGATTGAGATGGCTAGGACATGTGTTACCCATGCCCTGCCATCGCCTTCCTTGACAGGAAATGACAGATTACATTGGATGAATCAGGCTGGAGAAGAGGTAGTAGTGGTCGAAACAAAACATGGCTTCACCAGTCAATGAAATGTACAAAAGTTAGTTTAAGCCACCCACGTAGAAAGGCGTAGACTTCCTGGTTGGGGTCCTCGGGACATTGGAAACCAAAGCCTGGAGGCAATCAGTGATACAACTCAAAATCGTTCTCAATAGCGCTGATGCATTACCCAATAAAACTATATGGTTCTTCGATATTACTATTACCTTCTATCTATAATTCCAAGTAATTATGGAAAAGTATGTTCCAAAACTTTTTGAAACTTATAATTTGATTTTGTTTAGGATGTATGCAGTTGATGAGTATCCACGAAATAAAACGAGCTCGTATTATCCTGCAAACATGTTCGTTCTTTCTCTCTTCAAACTAATAAAGGGAACCGGTTGTATGAGATACTATTCATTTGTCTCGTATCCCTGTCTACTGTCTCTATCTTTCATTTCTTCTACTTTCTTCCGTGATTTGCTTAAGTCAATTAGACTCACATCCATGAGTACATTGGTGATGAAAATTAAGAAATATAGACAAAGTCAATAAAAAATGATTTGTTTTATTTCAAAACAGTACTATTGTTACGGTGTGAAATTTTCAGCATTTGGTACAATATTGCATCTAATTTTGTTAAATAATATTAGAAACAATTGCCGGATGCTACTGATTGTTATCACTTAAACTGATAGCTGTTCATAAGTTCTTATATGACTGCGTGAGTTTCAGTAGTGTGTTAATTGGTGTGGTATACTTTCTTTGCACTTCCTTCATCACCATACATTGTTGCTACAGTACCTCTCAGTCGACGGAGTCAAACATCGCTTCCAGGTCAAAAAGTATCTTAAGCTTTGAACCCCGGTAAGTATGTCTATTTCAAGACTTGTCGAAGAATTGAGATACGATCAATACATCCTCGTCCTCAGGTTGTTTTTTTATCTTGTAAATAACTTTGCGGAAAGAGTTTATTGAGACGGAATTACCACTGTCTATACAATTGCCATTCATCTGATTTCTAACGTATTCACTTTTGTGTAACCAATTAACAGAGTGTACATAAAGTCTTTTAGATGGAACTGGTGTTGAAGTTATTTGTCTTCCAGTTTCTTTTATTACTGCTACTGTTGAAAGTCTCTTTTTTTCTTTCACTACAGGTCGGATCATGCAGACAGCAAATAGCAGAGAATTTCCTCAATTACATTCCGAATGGATCGGTAATATTCTTACACTCTTACTCTCGTGTTGTTCTCGCTGCACTGGCGTATGCTGCAACTACTCAAAAACGTCTTCACTGTTATGTGACAACATGTGCACCTAGTGGATTGGGAGCAAAAATGACAAAAGCCTTAGCTAAATTGAAAATTTCATGTACCCTTGTACCAGATACTTCTCTTGCTTATTTAATGCCACAAGTTGACTTTGTTGTTCTAGGCGCTGAAGCTGTTGTAGAAAGTGGTGGGATATTGAATATGCTTGGTTCTTCACTCATTTCAATGACAGCCTCCTCGTTTGGCAGGCCAGTTTATGTTCTTGCTGAATCATTTAAATTTATTCGATGTTATCCCCTGGATCAACGGCATATCCCAGATGAATTTAAATGGTCGTGTGATAGTGAATATAAATCATCATCACCATCGCCTATGTCTAATTTAAGAGATGGAAATGCCTTCTGTCCAACTGATAGCGATAAAGAAGAGTGTGATTTTCCAGAAATGAAAACAGCATGGGCCGCTGTTGAAGCTCAACGGGTTTCTATCATTGAACAGAAAATGCCTCGTGTTGACTACACAAGTCCATGTTATATCACCTATTTGATAACAGATCTTGGTGTGCTGACACCTTCAGCTGTCAGTGATGAATTAATTAAATTGTACTTGTAATATAATGGGAAATATAATACGATTTTATACATAAAATACTTCTTTCTCAAGTTGGATAGTTTCCAATTACTAAAAATTTTATTGATATTCTCTTCGTTTTGTAGCTTTTCATTCACATTTCACAATGAACACGTACGCGTGTATATGTATCTTATTCCACTTATTGATTATTGAAAAACGAGTCACAGCAATAACACCAACAACCACAACTACACCTCTGGAGGATGAATTATCAAATCCTACATCTCGATTACTAGTTATTTTAATCGACGGATTACGATGGGATGTAGTAGCCAATCATTTAGAAAAAGATACTAGTGAATTTGGATTTAAAAAACTACAAAGAAATGGTGCATACTTGGAACGCTTCGCGCCTGTATTCCCTGCAGAATGTTATCCAAATATTTACTCGTTGTTTACAGGTAAACTGACCTAATTTAATTATGCTTAATTTCTAAAGCTTTACATAATAATGTTGTGTAAATGACTGTCTGTCTGTTTTCGATATAGAACTTTGCACCGATGTGCAGCGGTTCAAGTCGCCACACTCTCCATGTAGCACACAAAGCAAGAGAAGAAAGTAGAAGAAATGCAAAATAGAGACAGTAAACAGAAGTGTGAGACAACGGAATAGTAATAACGAAGAACAATATAGTTTCATTGGAAATCATAAATCACAAAGAGTGGATGCATCTGCGTTAGCCATTGAGAACGATTTTGAGCCATATTACCGATTGCCTCCAGGCATTGGTTTTCGCCGTCCCAAGGACCCCAACCAACCAAGAAGTCTACACCCCCTTCGTTGCTGGATTAAACTAACTGTTGTGGATTTCATTGACTGGTGCTATGTTTTGGTTTGACCGCCGCTAGCTCTTTTCCAGCCTGACCTTATGTCAGCTAACATCGCTCGTTGTCGAGGGAGGTGATGACTAGGCATACGTAACACATGTCCTAACCATCTCAGTCGATGTAACTTCACAGCGTCGTCGATTAATCTCCCCTCCTTACCTAGCACTCCACCCGTGGTGGCGTAGGGATAGCTTTGAGTACTAGGGCAGAAAAGACATTGCTTGACTGGATCCCGGTAGATAGCCGAATGTGTGCTGTCCGCCTGAACGGATCAGTAAGAAGGAGGAAGGACTGCACTACTCGCCGATGCCTTTTCGTAATCTCCGCCTACGCCCCCACTGACTGCAGTTCAGATGAAACGAAGGATGAGTTCTACCAAAAGCTGTCTAGTTTGGTGCGAAAGGCTAAACGCTCAGACATAGTCGTTCTAGCTGGTGACTTTAACGCTCAAGTAGGGAAATTGTGTCAATCTGAGAAGGATGTCGGTGGCACCTATGGAGCTCCGTGCCAGCGAACCGACAACGGTGACCGTCTCCTACAGTTCTGCTCTGATAATCATTTGTTTCTTGTAAGCACTAACTTCAAACACAAGGAGAGACACTGTTTGACTTGGAGACCCCCTTCATCAAACCAACGCTGGACACAAATAGACCACATAGCAATAAGCTATCGTTGGCGTGGGTCGGTAGGAGATTGTCGCTCCTTCTGGAACACGTGCGTAGATACCGACCATGCACTGGTCCGCGCTCGGGTGTGCTTACGACTGAACGGACGTAGGAAACAGCTGGCGGTAAAACCATCACGTCCCCAGCTCGATCAGGAAACTAAATCCGTATTTGAGGAAGAACTAGCTAAACACATATCTGTGTTCGACAGCTGTGCTCACCCTGAAGAAGCTTGGAAAAATATCCAGGCAGCCATAGATACAGCTGTAAAAGCTGTGAATAAGGTAAACCCAAAGGTGAGTAAAAACCACTGGATCTCCACCGCCTCATCCGAACTGATAGATGCTAGAAGACTTATTCCGGCGAGCTCCGAATTCAATGAGGAGCGAAAGCTGCACAAGAGGAAACTTACGAAAAGTCTCCGCAAGGACCGTGAACAGTGGTGGGCGACAAAAGCCAAAGAGATGGAGAAAGCTTTGAGGATAGGCAACACCAGGCAACTCTTTGGACTCATCAGGGAAACGGGTGGGAGAAGACAAATCATCAGTGAGACAATCTCGGAAAAAAATGGCACTATAATTAGCTCCCAGGATAGACGACTGGATCGTTGGAAAGAGCATTATGAGGAGCAGTTTAATTTGCCCACAGCCACGCTCAACCTTCCGAGCATCCAACACCTCCCTGAATGGGATATAGACACAGGTCCTCCGTCACTAACTGAGGTTACTAAAGCTGTCACCAATCTGAAACTAGGCAAAGCAGCGGGACCTGATGGAATGACTCCAGAGGTATTTAAGTACGGTGGAGACAGCTTACTGTCCGGATTAACTGAGGTACTAGGCAGCGTCTGGGAATCAGAAGAAGTCCCATCGGGTTGGTGTAAGTCACTGATTATCCCCATATACAAGAAGGGAGACAAGTCTTCCTGTGATAATCACAGAGGGATTAGCTTGACTAATATAGTATCTAAAGTCTTAGGCTCAATAATCATGCGTAGACTGAGTGGTGCTCGGGAAGCACAAACACGAGAGAGCCAGGCAGGCTTTAGACCAGGAAGAGGGTGTATTGATCATATCTTCACCCTCCGACAGATTCTAGAACATAGGCATTCCTACCGGCGTCCAACAGTCATTATATTTCTTGACCTAAAGGCAGCATTCGACTCTGTCGATCGGGAAGTTCTCTGGAGATGCTTGGCTGTAAAGGGAATTCCAAGAAAATATATTGCACTGATTAAGGCACTCTACTCGTACTCATACAGCCAGGTGAGGGCTTACGGCGAGCTGTCATCTGAACTGATGACGACCAGTGGTGTCCGTCAAGGATGCCCATTATCTCCTTTTCTATTCAACTTCATCATAGATGTGTTAATGGACTTAACCCTAGGTGACTTCAGCGACTCAGGGATTGACTTGCTACCGGGGAATAATCTCGTTGACTTGGAATATGCAGACGATATAGTCCTTCTAGGCGAAGACGCTGACGAAATGCAGAGTCTTCTAAACACCTTGAGCCGCAATCTACGAATGTTTGGCATGCGATTCGCTCCCGCCAAATGCAAGATGATGTTACAGGACTGGACTACATCGACGCCTAGTTTAAAAATAGGAAGTGAAGTGGTAGAGCACGTTGACCGCTTCACTTATTTGGGAAGTACCATCAGCCCCAACGGGCTGATCTCTGACGAAATCTCAGCACGAATACAAGGGGCTCGTTTCGCATTTGTTAGTTTACGCCGACTCTGGCGTAGACGAGATGTTCGACTATCGACCAAAGGGCGGGTGTACTGCTCATCAGTCCGCTCCGTCCTCCTTTATGGTTGTGAGACCTGGCCACTGAGAGTGGAAGACATGAAAAGACTAGCTGTCTTTGATCATAGGTGCCTGCGTTCTATTTCCCGTGTAAAGTGGCATAATAAGGTGAGCAACATGGAGGTTAGGCGTAGAGTTCTAGGTAAACAGGGGAAATCAATCGACGAAGTCGTGAAGCTACAAAGACTGAGATGGTTAGGACATGTGTTACGTATGCCAAGCCATCGCCTCCCTCGACGAGCAATGTTAGCGGATATAGGGTCAGGCTGGAAAAAAGCTAGCGGCGGTCAAACAAAAACTTGGCATCAGTCAATGAAATCCACAACAGTTGGTCTAAGCCACGTAGGAAGGTGTAGACTTCCAGGCTGGGGTCCTCGGGACGGTAAAAATCTATGGTTGGAAACAATTGGTGACATGGCTCAAAATCGTTCTCAGTGGCGCAGATGCATCCACTCCCTGTGACTTATGATCTTCAATGAAACTGTTTTGTATTTCTTTATTACTCCTTTGTCTCACACCTCTGCTCACTGTTTCTATTATGCTTTTCTTGTACTTTCTTCTCTTGCTTCGCGTGCTACACGGAATGTGGCGACTTGAACTTCCGCACATTTGTGCAAAGTTCTATGTCGAAAACAGACAGACAGACTCCATCCGTGCTTAACTTCACTATTGCTTACCCTATTATACCAACACGTAACATGGGAGATAGAACGCAGGCACCTATGATCAAAGATAGCGATGCTTTTCATGTCTTCCACTCTCAAAGGCCAGGTCTCACAGGCATAAAGAAGGACGGTGTAAATGAAAGGTTGGATAGCTGGTTATCAAATGACTGACTGGGATTTCTTCTTGGAATAATACCTGAGACAGAAAGAGCATTAGTGTTGCTTGACTGCAGAGCTCAGGATGCAACTGCTTAAGACCAATCCTATACTACTACTTGATTGAAGTGGTGTTTTAAATTTATTCCCATTTGAAGATCTTACCACCGTAGGGTAGTTCGGGATGTAAAACTTTTGGCGTTGATCGTTTTTAAACCAACTGTTCTCAGAGAAGCATCTTACTGCTGTTATATCCTTATACGCCAGCAGTATGACTTTGTCCCTATACCCCCAGTATAATGTAAACAGTTTACTTTTTGTCTAAAATCTCTACCCTAGTGAACATTTATTCCAGTCAGTGTACTTCGTCGGTTTATTGCTATATGCAAATCCGAGCAACTATCGGTTGAGAGGTTACCAAATGATAAGCAAATTAATGATTTATCTTCAATTATTAAATGTGTTATTGATCGCCTCGTACGATACTGTGGCACACAGTGTCTCTTATTAAGCTGCGAATTTAATAGATAAATAAATCTGAATTTAGCCTTTGCTTTGGTCAAGACTACTGACTAACAAAATGTTTTTAGGGCCAAGATTCCAGCTTGCTTGGGCGGAAAACAGATAATCACTGGTAAAATAGAACTCAAAGTTTTTAGGGTGATAAGAGAGAATGAGGGAAATACGTAGCTCAAACTCACGATGAGCGTAACTTTGAGTTCTCGTACAGACTTATGAAGCTAGGACTTTGTATATTTTAACTTTACTGGTTCATCGTGTAATACAGTCTCACATTTGCCTTCTTTACCATAATATTTAGTAAGTGGTTGCATTTATTACATGCTACCAAATAAACCTCATGCGATTGCTAATAACACTAACTATCTGATAAAACCGTAGTAAGTGAAATTCTTCATTGATTGAAGTGGCTAAGACCTGCATTCTGTCTGCTATGCCACCGCCTTCCTGTACTGGTGGTTTAAGTAAGATGAAATCAGATTCATTTCTCCCAAGTAGCTATCCAAAATCTGGGTGGTTTAAACTGGTGTGACTCTCTAAGCTAAGTCACATCAGGCACGCCACTGATGACCTCGCCCCCAAACGAGGTAAACAGGTGTCCTGTGGTTAGATCGCTTTGATCTGGCTAACAAGCACGACTCGTTGATGTAAATGGTATCCAACTACTCATATCAATCGATCAATAGTTTATAGCGTTATACATTTTAGTAAGATGAAGTTAGAAAGAAATTGGTGATCAAATGAGAACATGGGATCAGTCTATAAGATGCCTTGAAATCGTTGACAGCATTGCAGGTGTACTAATTCCCTGTTATCTTCCAGATTCTGAAAATCCTCATAAATCTTATTCTCTGTCTCCGATATTTCATCGTTCGTTTTGGTTTCACTACATTTCGTCAATTTTTTTATGTGTGCTTTATCAAAATGTCGGAAACGTCTGTAAACGTGAAGCCAGGTGAAGAGAGTTGTGAAGAATAGAGTGGAACGGAGGTGTGCTACTGAAATCCTTCCTATGTTGCGCCTGGAAAGCAAGGGATAATATGCGTAAAGATAATATGAATGTTATCACATTTCAGATCAACTAGTCTTGTTTCTTTTTTTGCTGCTTGCAGGTCGGCATCCAGTTGATCATGGAGTCATTCTACCTACAACATTCGGCCAACATACGACAATTGATGGTAAACCTATTCGTTTACAAGCAGAAGGTCTTTGGGAGACAGGAGCGAAACAAGTAAGTCTCTTATTAAGTATACTTGGCTATAAGAGATAGTATGGCGTGCTTAGTAATGTATGTTATTTGATTGCTTTTAGTTTTAACCTAATAAAAATATAAAAGTAGGTCATTCATTTCTGCATTGTCGACAAATGTTTAACGAAAAAAAATTGTCCTTACATTTGTCTCGGTGTAGATTTTGTCACCAACCAACACCAGTTAAAAAGAAATCGGTGAGCAGTGAACAGCTGTCTCGTCCTAGTTCTCAACTTTTCAGCAATACACACCCACGAGCTTATCAGGGATTAAACCTCATTATCTCTAGGTTATGTGGGTCAAGCTGGTTAACTGTTCAGCCGTGACATATCGCTACCGCCAGCGAATGTCTTCAACGAGCACCCACTTTATTTTTGCTTTCTGGATCCCATTGTCCACGACTTCTCAATTAACCATCCGTCAATGGGCTGGAGACTGATATTTAAATTGAGTTTTTGTTGAAAAGCATTTAGTGATAGCCTTTTTCTAAAATAAAACTGAAAGAGTAAAAGGTTAAAGAACAGCTTAATTCTCGCAGTTCTTTATGGACTTATGATAAAAGGAGCAATCAATAACAATTAAGGGTATATATTGTAGAGTCACTTCACTCCAATGTGAAGTCAGTGCTACTATACGGATCAGGGGCTTGCACTGCGCGTCATAAAGAGCACTCAAACAAACTACAGACCTTCACTAACAGCTGTCTTCGCTCACTACTCAAGATTAGATGGCCAGTCAGAACAGATCAGCAACAGGGATCTCTGGCAATGAGCGAACCAACCCACCAGGAACCGATTGTGCACCAAATAGGCAGGAAGAAATGGAGGTGTATTGGCTGGCCATACTCTGAGGAAGCCATCAAGTGACATAACTAGACAGGCCATCGCTCGAGTGGAACCCGAAAGGGAAGCGGCGAGTCTGACGTCAGTGCAACGGTGACTTGGAGGAAATCATGTGAAAATCATAAAATCATGTGGGCAGACTTGGAGCGGGGTGGAAATGTTGGGAGAGGACCGAACGCAATGGAGACGCGCGGCTGAAGCCCTATGTTCCTCTAGGAGTTAAAGGAAATAATAATAGTAACTTTAGAGTCAACTGGTTGGCATCAGTCCGGGCCAGTTCCACTTTTCAAAACAAATGAATACACCACCATTCAATCAACACAAATAAACTATTTTTGTGTGCTACGTTGACTATCACAACTTGAACTGCTTGCTGCACTTCGGTGCGAAGTTCTGTGTGTTGAAGCTCAGTTAGCCAGTTAGTTTAACATCGAGACATGGAACATGCTACATTAGCAATTTGTCTAACTGACAGATTATAGGATGTCATCATGAGCTGACATTGGTTAGAGAACCATTGGTAAACCTGGGAGTACTGGACAGCTTTTTCGTCCTAGTTTGAAATTCTTCAGCGGTACTCACCCACGGGGGTTAAAGCCCAGGACCTTCTGGTTACAAGACTAGCGAGCTCGTAGACCATTAGGCCACTGGGACCCGATCCAATGACCAGTCCATGAATTCTAACTTCTGCCAATCCATGTGGTTCGAATCCTGGTGGGTGCGTACTACTGAAGAGTCCCAAACTAGGACGAAACAGCTATCCTGTACTCCCAGGTTTTCCAACGGTTCTGTAGCCAATGTCAGCTCATAATGAAATCCTGTGACCAATCAAATCCCTACAAACCAACATTTGGAAGATTACAGTAATAACTTGCTCAAATTTTCTTTAGATGTTAAGATAAAACGGACAAGTGACAGTAATTCAGTTGACAGAAGCAATCAACAGAGAAAGCTATACTTGACTTAAATATCGTGGTTGATTCGTTGCGCGTTCGTTAGAAGTATTCTCAACCTCAAGAAAATTGATGTATCCACAGAGATTAGAATCATCTGTGCAACCCATTCAGCATTCTGATATAGTTCAGACTTCTAATGATAAAATGAAAGTTCTACTCTGATGGTGATTTATATTTTGTTTCTTATTGGGTTTGTTTACAGACTGCTTTTAGCTGTTGCATACACCGATGAAGCCTATTTTCATTAAATGGGATCGTAAACCTGATGCGATAGAAGTGAGGTCAACACGTATATGTCATACAGCTGTTTCCTTTTCAATAACTTTAAGAAAATCATAGAAATAGTTGTAGATAACTACAGAACGCACGGAGAAAAACAACTTAAGGAACGACTTAGTATGGCATAATTCTTACTAGCGTCTAGGAGAATTTCAGTTACTTAAGATTAATCACAAAATGACTTATGTTGCAGAACCTCAGAAAACTAGGGACTGCTGGACGAGTGGGGTCGACCAAGTTGGATATGAGGACGAATGTTCACCGATGGCATTGATTAGTAGTGGTTGCGCAATGTGTCCCGAGTTGATAGAAGCTAGAATTAATGGGCCATTGGACTTCGTCTCAATGGCTGAATGGTTTAAGAGCTCGCTTTGTAACCTGAAGATGATGGGTTTGACTCCCTGTGAGGCCATAGGTGCGCACTGATGAAGAGTCCCCAAACAAGGATGAAACAGATGTCCTGCACCCTACGATTCTCAACAGTTGTACAACTGAAATCAGTCAAATCTCTGCAAGTCAACATTTGAAAATTTATTTACTTTTTCAGTGATGATTTTCACCCCTTAACTCACTGCTCAGGTAGTAAGTAAGGTGCTTGACTAGCGTTTTCTACTACAGATTGTGTTTTTGTGTTTTCAATCAGCAGACAGGTCTAAAAGCCTCATTTATATTGGTTAGTTATTTTATGAAACCTTTCAAAGTCTAAGTATTTACCTCTGCTTCACTTATCCGTCTACCTTGTACTTATAACGTTCAGTTTTAACCACACAGCATTTCTCCAGGGTTCTTTTTTGAGTTCTCCGTTGCTTGATTTTTATTAGATTGAAATGTTTGCTCTCTGGGTGTAGACTCAATGAACCTGGCAGGATTCAGTAATCAACCTCTTTCTCCACCTTCCTAGATTACTGTTTAGAATTGAGGGTGGGATAGGGTTAAAATTCTAAAAAGTAACCTATGTAGGTGGAGAGAGAGGTTGATTACTGAATCCTGCCAGGTTCATTGAGTCTACACCCAACACAACACATGGAACAGAAGTGACTCAATGCAAATACCAGAAATATGCATGGAAGATATTATTGCCGCCAGTCAGTCAGTCAAATCAGAGGAGGATAATAAATAATCTCAAAATTCTATTTCAATTCAATTCACGTACATCACAACATTCTACCAAGTTACTTATTACTGACGACTATAAAAACACTCGTCTTATTTCCCCATCTGATTGTAATTGATCAATAACACTCATATTATTATTATTATTATTATTATTATTATTATTATTTCTGAATATACATTATCCCATATTGGATTTTATTCCAATATCTGGTCAATTCCACACATGTCTATAAATGAAGAAAATGAATTGTGTGTGTGAGTGACTTGATATGATTATGAGTGGCAATTATTTGTTCTCGAAACATTGTCATCAGTTAATATTACTGTATAACAGCACTGTGTGATTTATCAAAACAAAATCTTATTCATAATGGAGTCTGGTGAAGAGTTTGGATTTAGTCTGAGACTAGGAATCACAACCCGTAAAACAAAAGAACACCAGTGAAACTGAAATTTGAAAGGTTGAAGTCTTTTGTTGCACTCACTCACTGGGGATATTATAGGTGATCTGCCAACTGACAATTTCTAAGTGGGATAAAACACCAGCTCTGGATTCTATTGCTACTCACATTCAGCCTACAGCTTACATAAATTTTCATGACAAGTTGCATTGTTGCATTGTGTTTTCTCTTACTTACTTTATAATATAAAAAGGGGGGGGATTCAGTTGCCGTAACTGTTTATAATTTTTGTTTTCTCATTTTGACTTTTCTCTACAGAATAAAGGTGTTCATCTTTATCACTTGCCAACGTGTTCAGCTGAGTCAGATTCCCAGGGTGATAACAGTTGGTTCTGTGAACCATATAATCCAAGCCATATGAATCCTATCAGTTTGAATTTTACAATACAAAGAGCTATAGACGGTCTGCGTAATGGAAGTGCAAATTTAGCAGGTAACATATGCTAAAAATGACTAATTTAAAACATAACAAGAATTGAACTCAAGTATTGTCATCATTATGTAATGCGATAATTTATTTGATTGTGGCCTATAGTGATATAATATGACGATTGGAGATTTTGGCTCACTGGCTAAAGCGCTCCGGAATTCATCCAAATAGGTTCCGAGTTCAAATCCTGCTTCATATATACTTCGGTCTGGTCGGGCATCATCAGCCTTTACATAATAAGTGTCACTCATGTGCTGTTACATCAAGGGTGTGGTCCTGTTAGCTGGTTGTAAGCTGTACACTGTACTTAAAACATTGTCTTGTTGGATTACTTGGAACAGAAGGCGAATTACTGTTAAGTGACTCCAAAACGCAGGAAATGACTTCTTCAGGCTGCTTATTTGTCTTGTGTGAAGTGATTTGCGCGTTTTTCTGTCCGCATTCAGATCTTACCGCCTACTGCATGCAAATCATGGTTAGGTGAATCAAGATGTATAAAAGTGTCGGCGTCGACCTTTTCTATAACCGTCTCTGTTAGGAACTGAGAAGCAACATAGCTGGCTTGTTGGCTAACAACTGAAGCAAACACCTGACTGCTGTTCCACTCCTATTCATCAGTAGTGCGAATTCGCTCGCAGATCCCCGACATAGGCTAAACAAGTTACACTATACCGGTAATTGCTTTAAGTTTAACCGTTATCTGATGGACCATTCTGGCATGTTAAGACCTACAGGAACATTTGTTTCGGTCGGTGTAACTCGTTGGGTCATTTAAAGTATCTTTCTCTTTTTGTATGTTTAGGTTTTTGGTTTTCTGATGTTTCTTGAGCTGGTCCGTTTATTGTAAAATTTTCGTCTTTTTAGACGGCATCTTCAGCTGCAACTTCAATATAAACTGAACATTACAAATTCCCCATGAATCAAGTAATAATCATTTTCTCCGATGATCTTGATTGTGGCTGATTGCCCGCAAAGATTCTCTTGTCATTATATTCACCTGTTCAGGTATATTAACCGTCTCGTTGACTTGACTGACAACTGGCTTCTTGGTTGTATGAATTATTGTTATTTGATTGATGAATTTGTACTCTGAATCCCAATCTGTTAGTCGCAAATTGATCTGAGTACACCAGGCCCCTGTAGAGATTCTTCGGAATTCTTTGTGTTCCTTTTCTTTTCAAGATTCTTACATTTCCCCAGTTGTAAATTGATGTCCGTACTTGTCTGCATGAATTCATATGAGAGGAGGGATCTCTGTCATGTCTTTTGACTGGTAGTTTATTTTCATGAGTACAGAAATGTTGGCGGCATCCGTCTGAGTAACCCAGATGGATGATTTTGATGTGGTTGTGTTCTCTGAGCTGGATAGTTAATTTGCAAAGCTTTCATCGCCCTAATAGGCGACATATTCAGCTCATACTTCAATTCAGTGAAGTGAGCTTTTACATTTCTCCACAAGTTTATTAATCATCTCTCCTGGTGACCTTGGACGTGTTGGGTTGTTTTTGTCTGTTTTCCCACCTTCTGGGCTATTTGTATTGGAACTGATTGTTTCTTCGACTTGAATTTTGAACCTTTGTGTATGAGGTTTCTTTCTTATCGGTTGATAAATTTTGTCTATCTCGATGTGTCTATTGATTGATGATTCACTGGAATGCAAGGTTGGCTTCTAAAAATTCTCTAGCATTCTTGGTGTTGTTTCCTCTGTCTAATATTTGAACGTTGGCCGTCCCAGTCGAATTGATGTCCGTGGTTGTCTGTATGCGGTGAGTGATATGAGGGAGTGGATATCATGTCTTTCGACGGCTAGCTTATGTTCGTGGATACGAAGACGAAGAGGAGGGGAGTTCACTTTGGCCAATGTAGTGTTTTTCGCAGTTGTTACAATTTATTTTGTAGATACTGATGTTGGTTTTATCTTCTTTCGCTGTTGAGTCTTTTGGTTGACATAGAATTGAGTGAAGTGACTTTGTTGGTTTGCGTACGACATCTATTTCTTATCAAGGTTTGAAGAGTCTTGTGGTGATTCCTGAGATATCCTTTATATATAGTAACGCGATTTTCTTTGCGCTTTGGGGGCCTTTGGTTTGATAGGTAGACTTGGGGGTATATTTCTTTTGATGAAATTCCGTGGATATCCATTCTTTTGGAAGACGTCTATGAGATATCTTTCTTCAATCCAGTAACAAACAAACACTATTCAAGAGGGTGAGGACTCATTGCAGCACTCCCACCTTAAGGAAAATTGATGATATGATGTCAAAAGATTGTGTGTTGGTTTGTGGGTTAAATCTATTCCAAAATTGTTTCACTGACCTATTGTTGAATTCAGAGATATTCTTCATATATATGGTAGGACGTTTACCATATAATCTTAGATAATTATTTTGCGTTGGTTCGTTCATTTGAGGTCAGGCCTCTTCTGATGAAGTTTCGTAGATGTCCATTTTTCTATAAGGCAATCATGAGATGTGTTTCTCTTTTCTACTATCCTGAAGAAAGAAGTTTCTCACTGTATCTTAGCTCTTTCGAGTAATGTGTGTACACAGCTTCTTTTCTGTATTGTTGAATGTTTACCGTTTGAAATGGCATATTAGATACGTATCAGTTGTTGATGTTAGTTCTCACACTTCTGTTTACTGTCTCTATTATTCTTTTCTTGTACTTTCTTCTCTTGCTTGTGTGCTACATGGAGTGTGGCGACTTGAACTGCCGCACATATGTGCAAAGTTCTATGTCGAAAACAGACAGACAGAGACAGTTACTTCTCCTATGTTCTTTGTTCTCTTGACAAAAACATCCGAAAATGATGTTTTCATCTCCAGTTTCTCTTCTCTAGTAAATTTGATGCCTATAAAAAAACATTTTTCATAAGGTTTTCAGTGTCTTCTAGATCGTTTCTACTTAGAGTATCCTGAGTTTTGGTTTGATTACTGGTAGAACACTGATTGCTAGTCGTCGCACAACAACCGATTTCACCGATTAGTCATGTTATAAATGATCCCATCGGTATTTTTCTGTTATCTATTCATATATTCGATGTGTAGCTAAAAAGGTGTATATAGCAGTGTTCTTCTTGAGTCAAAGTTGTACTTGGAATTGAATTCTGGAACACATGTTGGTTGGTGCGCGTTTCAGCGTCCTTAGAGAAAGTTAACTGACCATAGAGAAACTGTCTTTGGAGTGTCGCAACATAAAACTTTCTGAATCACAATAGATAAAACTAGCATGGCAGTATCCGTCGTACGTACGTCACCTTCTCTGTGTCAGTTATGATTTACAATCTAAGAATATCACATGACCTGCCAATTTTTTTTCTATTCCTTTGCGTTCCCAGTGAAACGTAAGACCACAACAAGCCTTAAGTTTCTAAGCTTCACTGAATAGTGGTAGCGTCTTTACGGGGTCAAGATGCTAGCCTCACTCCTAAATTTCCCTATTTTCCGGGTTTACTGGCAGCTAGTAAAAGATGGGTGAGACTTAAAAGTGTTTCGTCCGGGCATCGAAATTGGACCACTTACTTTGTGTTGGCAAGCCATTCTACCACTAAACCTACCACCGACCTGCTCTAATTATTCGTGTGTGTAAACGCCCATCATTATAGGGTTAATCGCATGTGTGTTTGTTATTTCGTTCACTCGCTTGGTATGTAAACATGTCATGTGCTTTTTGTATAATAATCACTGTGCGCTTTAAATTTCACAAAGCATGTGCAGAGATGGAACCAGTGTAGATTGACACACACTATTCCATGACTTTAATGTTGTTAAGATGATTGTCATCTTTTATACACTAGGCTTTCATATAGTAGTTTAGTTGATCTATTTGTCTATCTATCTATCCACCTGTGATTTTTTAATTCCTTCACCCTTCAGTGCACTTTTTCGTATTTTTTTTCTCAAACTATGTTGAGATTGTGTATGAACTTTTTAGGTCTTACTTTTCTGCTTTGTACGTATTCTCTTAACTGAATTTTTTCTCAATAGTTGGTTTTTTTGTCTGATTACATACCTCTTAACAATTTTTTCATACGTTTTTATCATAAGTTTCTGTGTATACTACCGCCATTGCTCCATTATTTATGATTTAGTTATTCAGCCTTATTTGATATTTGCTTTGTTTTATGCCAAGTTGATAATTCAGTTACTTTTTGTGCATGGTAAGTAAATTTTCGTGTGTGTGTGTGTGTGTGTGTCTAACAAGCCTCTTACTACTAGTACTAACTATTGTGTGCACTAATCATTAACTGTCTAGTGTCTTTTTCTCTTATGTGACCCTATATGACAAGTGCTATCTGTTAAGTTTGGCGTGTAATTTTATTTATCACTTGCTCCTGTATAATGATATCATAAGGAAACATGAATATAGACGACATCTTAGTAAAGTCGGTTATCCCATATTGATTTGTTTATTAGATGTATCACACAGTGAAACGGTATTATTTACTGGATGACGTTTCGACAAAATTAGTCAAGAATTATGTAGGGAAATGTAAAAATAAAATAAATAATGATAGTAGTGATAGTGATAATAATAATATTAATGACGACATGCATGTCAAATATGTGCAAGACAACACCAACAATAAGGAATCTAAATCATCAGTAGTAATTCCATACAAGGAAGGAACTTCAGAAAGCTGTCGCAGAATTCTTAACCATGCTGGCAGGCATAAAAGTGGCTGGCATTGAAAACCACAAACTCAATTAGAAACAAGCTTTGTCGGTTAAAGGATCCTGTGGAGTCTTTAAAACAAAAGAATTTAGTTTATCTGATACCCTGTTTGCAATGATTGTCAGGTCAAATACTTGAGTTAAAGTAGTGGAACAGGGTCAGTTAGACTAGTCGAGCATAAAAGCCTAGCAAAATCTAAATTAATTGACCCAAATAAGATAAGAAATCTAGAGAATAGTTCAGCTTTAGCACTCACTGCATGCAATTACACACAACCATACAATAGGCTGGATGGGATTGGATGACAGTTTTAAAATCTAATGTAACAG